TGTGTGTGTGTGTGTGTGTGTGTGTGTGTGTTACATACAGTTACATCTCTAACTCTGGTTTTAAAAGGTAAGTGATCTTATCTCCTTTGTAATTCTAATTCAGATGTTTACTTCTTTATTGATATTCAATGTAAATGTGAGAAAACGTAACTTTTCTTTGTGTTTTCCCTCCACCTTATCCCACCTTGGTTACCGACCAATTCATAATTAAAGACGTTTAATCAATCAAGTAGGTAATTCCTTGGTGAATCCATATTTTCAAGGATGCAGGGACACACTTGAGCCCACTTGATGAAACATCAGTTATTTTTGTAGACTTGCTCTCTCCCCCTCGCATGATTCATTTGGTAAAACAGGTTAAGGGCTCATACCGAATACAGAGTGTTGGCTGTCAGTGATTACACAGAGTCATTCAGATGAAGTGGTCTAACAAGACAGCTGGGTCAGCCACAGCCTCGGTTTCAAGAAGGTGCATTACCTGAGAGAGTAGTCATTCTCTAACATGGTGAAATTAATTGAGCTATATTATTCGGAACTATGACAACTGCCTGTGAAGCCAGTTAGTCCAGCCACAGCAGTTCGGTGTCGGCAGATGCAATGTAGATAAACAGTAAAGTGTTGACCATGCATTCAAGAGTCTGCGTCCGCTGAGAGTTGCATGCTTGTTCCGATTACATGCACGTTCCCTCAGTTCTACTTAAACTAAGATGACGGTCTTTAGGTGTTTCTCGCATGTGATTCCATTCCAGTAGGTGGTGGTAATGAGCACCAAGGTTGTTTGTCAACTGCCACTTCTGTCAGCAGGTACTCTCTCCAAGAGTACGCACACATGTTGTTGTATTTCTTCAAAGACCGGTTGTATAGATGTGGGCACCGGTGGATCTCCTCAAACAGCTCTCACTTCAGAACAAGCATCCATGTTCTTCTTCTCTTCTTTGCAACCAAACCAAGAGGATGCTACCAACGGGAACGTGTTGAACAACAAACTATATCATGGAGCGTTAATTTGATGAGCACCAGCGTGGTTACAAATTTTGGGCAGCACACAGCGTCACAGGTAGATGAAGTCATTTAGATCACAAAGGTCACAGAAGACCCAGGCAGACTGGTAAACATGGGAAACTGTGTGTTTGCCTTATGGCTGAGTCACAGCAGGCATTAAAAGCCACTTTAAAATATGTCAGGGCAGTTTATAGGTACTTGAGGTCGGGGCCAGAGAAAGGTGTCACCTCTCTTGGGGCCCAACAGATTAATGACGGTACCGCCTGATGCCCAGCACAGAGCCCAATGACAGGTCAAACATCATTTAATGTGAACGCTGGGTTTTCCACAGGAATGCTCTTTTTTTTGGCAGAAATAACTGTGTATTGATTTCTGTCATCTTCCAGAGATTAGCACACATGAAGATAACAAATAGAGCAGGCTATTGAGGTGTTAATGGGTGGGAAAGTGGGCTGAGAGAAATGTGGAATAACAAGTTTCCTGTTGTTGACAGAGGCAGAGAGAGGAGGGGGTCTGACAGAGAGATAGCACTGAAAACAAAATCCCAGAATAAAGATGCTTGATTGCACTGTTGTGATTTCATGAGGGTCAGTTTAAACAGAGGATGACGTGAGTCAGGACATCAGTGAGAGACCCATTATGTTTCATTTGAAAAAAAAAAAGATATTTAGTCTTCCTGTACACTGTCTTACGTCAACTTTAGAAGAAAAAGAAAAAGTGGATGTGTCATTTTGGACCCTGTGATGACATCTTTTAAAAGTCCCTCTGATAATCTTGTGTTCATAACAGAGCTGAGACGGTTCATAAATCCATGATCAGGGTTTTCTCTGTCCAACCACCCGGCTGACTAAATCCACATAAGAGACTGTTGATTCTGAACTCACTGAGAGAGGAAACTATCCATGAAAGATAAGGGCTGACGGTGCATAATCTGCCTCTCTTCAGACCACATCTCTGGTAAAATAGCTCGTTGTGTGATTGTCCCTGTAGCTTCAAGTGGCTGCAGGCTTGCTGAAGACTCCCACATCAATTTAAAATGACAGAACACAGATTTCTATAATAAATGTTTATCTGTGAACTTCCCTTTCCAGCCTGATGACATATTTGTTATGTAATACAACACACGGAGTGGCGAACTTGTGCAATACCTGCAGGTGTGGGATTCAACACAATATGACACTGATGCCGAGCAGATAAATCGACTGTTAGGACAAAAAAGTCTCACTGCTCGTCGTCCCAGACAAAGACATGACAGGAACAACAGCAGAAGATTGATGGCACAACAACGATCTGTGACTTAAAGAAAACATTGTCTCCACACATTACCTGCTGCAGATGACAAATGCCTTTCCGGGCTAAAAGGTGAGAGGTTACGCTATGTCATGCCTCATACAAAACTATGAGGATGTATATCTTCATAGTGAACGTCTGCAACGCATGTGAGCAGTAAAAAAGATGGGGTTGTTTTCAGTATAAGCAATCATGTAGATTGTCTCAGAAGAAAAGCAGAGGATAACAACATGTTTAGTGCTTTACAGAAAAAGAATGAATGCCTCATCCAGTACAACACAGACCCTCAGAGGCCCCCACATGGGCACAAGAAGCAGGGGCGGATTCAGGGGAGGGCCAGGGGGGCACTGGCCCAAGCTGAAATCTAACTGGCCCCTGAAGTGTTCCTGCCTTCTTCTTTTTTTTGTAGTCACCTACTAACAATACCAACAGCAAATATGTCAATTTTTATTTGCTAAGCTCTTTAAACAATCTGATTTGAAAAATATAAATGCAATGATTTGTGACCAGCTACAGAGCTAACAGTAAACAAGAAATGACTGAGCAGCTTAATAAATTAGGAAATGCACATGCATGTTGGACATTAATTTGGCCCCTCTGTGTAAATTGTGGACCCTTTATGGCCCCCTTTTTTCACTGGTGATGTATTTTTGAGTAATGTCGCCAAGAGTTTTTCTACATTTGAAATCAATGTATACATTTTCCTGAAGGCCTGCATGACCACATGATCTTAAAAATGCACATAAGGGCTTAGAAAACAGAAAGAAAAACTTTGTCTAGACAGAGGGATAAAAGCTCCCAGTGCTTACAGTCCAACACACTGTGCCTCTGCAGACAAAGAATTCAAGGTGAAGCATATCACAGTCATGATCTTAATACACTGTTGACAAGACAGCAGCTAATGCTTGAGAGGAATCTTTTGAACGGATGTGTTTTTATAAATGATGATCCACAAACACAGGACAGAACACGTTAAATATTACATCAGTCACTGTGGCTTTATATCACATGAAGTACATGGCACTTAACATTCAGGGAAGTTGCTGCACTCCCATTGAATTTAAGCAAAGTGTCATTTATGTAACACTGTGGTGCTGGTGACTCCTCGGTGTGTGTTTGGTGGAGTCGGGGGGCCAGGGTGCACGCAGAGGACCATGTTTGTCATACAAGCATTTCCAAACTCCCAGAGGAGCACAGACACCAAGGAAATGAGTGAATCTCAGTGGAAAGGTCAGGCCGAAACCACGGAGAACAACACATTAACAGCCGCTGAACAATGACTGTGTCCGTTCAGGAGTCTGTGAACACAAATGTGTCGAACTCATTAGTCCTGTGTGAGCATTACCACCCACCACTGCAGACAGAGGTGTCTCCCTGCAGCCGCAGACAACCGGGTCACTGCCCTGAACTGAGGGAGACATGACACTCAAGGCACAAATCCATCTGGCTGCTATGACAATTATACTGTGTAATATCATATTTCCAAATATGCAATGAATCTATAATTTATTATATTTATTGTAGACATATTTATAAAACATATTCAATGTGGAGATAAAGGTTTATGCTGGATACAAGTAAAATAAGTTTTCTTTAGAGTACTCTGTTTATGAGAATATATTGTTTGCCTATTTTATAGTTAAAATATTTGCGATGTATGGCAGATTTACTTCATGTATATGAATAATAATTCCTATATATTTATACATAAGCATTGATTTATTGGTTGTCAAGCTAAAACAGATAAAACATATTGTGTTGATATATCACAATTTAACATTGTATGAAAGAAGCCATATATTATATTTATATTATATATATATGATATATATAACATTATATTAAAACTATGTTGTTTAAAAAAGTTATTTGTGCATTTTACAACAAATGTTTTTTAATTTGGAAAATCGATATAAATAGCATAATTTCAAAAAGGCCAGTTTAATAGAATTAAAAATATATTATGCTTATTCAATTTGCAAAAAACAATAGAAAGTGATTAACACTTAACAGCACATAGTGAGCCACTTGTCCCGCCTTCTTATCTTGTAAGTGCAGTGTGCGTGAGCCCGCCTCTGCTCTGGTATAAATTCAGCCTGCGTGAGTGTGTGAGGACTCACACTCCTTCAACCACGTCCCCCTGCAGCTGCAGCCCTCTGGCTCTGATCTGTGGATTTACTGGATGGACATGTCTGATACAGTTAAACCTCGGACTTCCTTCCTCATAGAGGACATCCTGTCCATCAAGGACAGCACGAGATTTAATGGCAAATGCAGTTCACAGAAGATGGAGAGATGTTCGTCGTGGGAGGAGGAAGAGTCTGAAAAGTTGACAGAGAAACTCTGTGCTCAGGAGACAGTGTCTGGAGAACACTCAGGTGAGCTGCAGATTTACTCTAACAGGAATTTTACATTAACACAAACAATATAGTTTATAGAGTTATAGAGTATTTGAATTCCAAAAAAATGTTTTAGAGGATGGATGCTTTTCTTTTAAATGATATGTCTGCACAATCAGAAGTTGTAGCAATGTACTGAAGTTCTCAGGGGACAAAGAATGTTTTTATTCATTGTCATGAACCAATTTTTGGAAAACTACTTCAAATTATTGCAGACTACACCATAGTATGTACTGAAGAGTATAATTGTCTTCCTTAATCACGTATTCACATATGTACTTCACAGGGTCTCTGAACACCTCCTGTCCCATCACCCCAGAGTCCAGAAGTATGTTCACCACAGGGAAACAAAGACGCTCTCGAGCTGCGTTCACACACCTCCAAGTGCTGGAACTGGAGAAGAAATTTAACCACCAGAAATACCTGTCAGCCCCGGAGCGGGCTCACCTGGCCAACGCCCTGAGACTGACTGAGACCCAGGTGAAAATCTGGTTTCAGAACCGGAGGTACAAAACCAAACGAAAGCAGCAGACGTCAGAGTTCAGTAAGGATGTGTACAGAGCCGAGGGCCTGAGAGAGGAATTAGTGCGGTCGTCCCTGATCACCTCTTTCTGCAAAGCTTACCAGTACAGACCCTACCTGTGGGACTACAGTGGCCCCTGGGGACCAACGTTATGGTGAAAGTGACACTGTGATTTTAAATCATGTGTGGTATTCCTGATATTTAGGCTCAATGTTCCTTATCAAAGATGATTCCTTACTCACAGAATCATATGTGTAAAAGCATGAATGAATATGATGTGGTTTTGCACAAAAAACCATTAAATCACTGAATTCACTTGTGGCATTATTGATTAATTGACTGATTAATAAACCAATACTGATACATTTCATCTGCCTTCCCATTAAAATGTACAGAAAATGAATGTAATTGAAATACCTCTTATAGAGCAAATAATGACATTGAATTAAAACTATGCTCCTGATGTACTGAATCTATTCTGCCAATGTTTAGGAAACACTTTGACATGAGGCCCAAAAGTATATTACAGCAAAAAGTTGAGAAAACAGGGGAACTCTCAAATTATCAAATGATAATATATCAAAAGATTCGGTATATATTTAAAAAATACACAATTTGCTGTTGTTGAAGTAGTAGTTATAGAAGTGTTAACCACTGTATTGAAATTAATAACACTATGACACGTCTTTAAATCTTCATACAGGAAATATTTAAAATATGTGTGTGCAGTCAATGAGGTAGATGAAGATAATAGTGAGATGAGGGTAAGAGAATGATGACATAGAGATAAAACAGTTTTTTTTCAGGTGACATTAAGATGAGATTAATAAGAGAGTAAGATCAAACAAGCATCAAAGACTGATTAGTTCATAGGGAAATTATGGATAATTATGTTTTGGTCAGAATACAATAGAAAAAGATATGAAAACAATAATACTGGTTGAAATCTGGTTGATTGAAGCAAAAAAGTCATCCATCTAAGAAGCACGTCAGCAACCACTGCAACGTTTTGCTTTCTAAACCAAACGTGTCCTTGTCTCTCACATAGGGTCAATGAGTTTTGCTTGTGTGACTGCAGCGTGAGTTTTTTTGAATGCATCAAGAAGCTCATCACATGAATGTGATAGCGATTAACAAAACCTGTTTGTTAACATGACTGCTGCTGGGAACAAAGACAGAACCCAGACAAGCGGTACAGAGGGGACACAATGCAAAATGAAATTATATAAGAAGACATGCATTATAAAACTGATAAATGTATGTCGAACAAATGTATTTAACTCTATACTTCTTCTTTACACTAAAAAACGTATTAATATCATATTATCATATTTCAAATTATTCCAGTGTTAACCTTATTGGAAAAATATAACTGAAAACCAAATGAGAGAGCAGTTACATGGTTGATGGCCATTTCAAATATGGTGCAAAATATCGACTTCAGCCACAGAAGCAATAAGCCATGAAAGTTACATTAAACCCAGATGAAACTGCACCACATTTATATTCATTGATTCATATGTTTGTTTAAAAAAGGTTTAGGTTTCCATTAATAATGATCCAACGCAATCTAGATGTGAGTATAATTTTTTCATGAAATACAGGCGTTATGCTCACATAATGCATCCATGGGCTCTAAACTTGTGGCTGTAGAATCTCAAGAAAATAATCTGGTTGCCTGGCAGCTACCTTTAGCCTTTAGCTTATAGGTTGTGTATCCACCGCCTGCATGTGCCAGTATGAGACACATGCAGTGTGCACTTGAGCCTCCCTGCTGCAGGTTTCAGATATGGAAGGCGGTTTGTTATCTTCCAGATTATTGACATTATCCATGGCTGAATGAATTAAGGACATTGTCTCCTCTTGTTATCAGATGGTCTCCTGTGTACGTTGTCCTCAGCAGGTAAAGTCACTGCCTCCTTCGTGATCACAAAGCTGAACCTTCAGGTTCAACTGAAGTCTGAGTATGTCAGAGCTGTGACTGTGTGTCGGAATTATCCTTTACCAAATGCAACACATTTTCTCTGAGGAATATTATCACAAGCTCATATTTCTGTTATATCACAACTTCGCATGGTCTGGGTTTTGAGGTCAAATAAACCATTAGCCCATAGCAAATAAAAAAGAATAATTATGTCTGGCAGGAAACTCAAACTTTGCTTTGTCAGCTGACAGCTTTTCAGAGGCATCCTTTCTATTTATCTGTATGCTGCTGTTCCAGTGAAGAGTCTCCTCTGCTCAGAGCCGCATCTTCAAGTCTGCTGTTTCCTCTCTCCATGGACGTTTTCTGAGTTAATGATCACTGTGATGCTGCTTCTCCACCACCAGGAGCTACCTGTGTGTTCTGAGGTCAATCTATTACAATTTTCAGAGTTCAGTCAGACAACTCTTCCTAAAACGTTTATTGCAACAGTGGAACATGTTAGTGTTCGGCGTCTAGGCTCTGACTTAAAGGGATAGTTCACCCAAAAATGAAAATTCACTCATTATCTACTCACCACTATGCCAATGGAGGTGTGGGTGTTCTCTGCTTAAACAGAGCGCCTAATAGGGTTGGTGTGTATTATAGATGATGGTGGTGAATGAGGTATGCCACATGATGTAAGTCACATGATGTATGTCACATGATTGGAGCAGCTCAGCTCGATTTGGATAGCTCGCAAGCATCGCCTCATTTATTCAATGCTGTATTTATGTAACCAAACCAAGATTGAGTTTATGGAAAGAAATGAATTTTGGCCTCTATTTGGGTCTTCTAAAAAATCAAATAGCAATTATAAATTTGAAGGTCTTTTTAACAAGACATTTTTCTTCTTTATCATGATTCCAGTTTATACAGAGAGGATCTCCTAACTATCTCATTCCCACTGGCCAAGTGAGCCTCTACAAACAAACATAAGGTGTGTGTGTAGGTTTTTGAAACACGTCCCTTGAAAATCATTAACTCAAATGAAAAATGGGATTTCTCATCTGCAGTCATTTGAGAGTTTTCAAATAAAAAACATACAATCAATAATTACAATCTATAGTTAAGTCCCAGTCTTTCAGATTCCAGTTAACTGCTCAGACGTAAAACTATTTCTCTGTGTCCTAAGAAGAGTATAGACGGTGATTCGTGCAGGTTGGCATGTTGAGCTCACTCAGTACACTGCTGATAAGATGGCATGCAGGATTTAAGGCTTTACATATTTAAGAAGGGCAAGTTTGTAGTAAGACAACTGAAGTGTGTGAGCAGCAGAGGTCTGATGGAAGTGATAGAGGGAGCATTGAGAGCTCTCTCAGCAGTTAACCGCCACATCTGTGCTACCATCAGAAGAGAAGTGTCGAAAGACTTTCATCATTTTTCAATGAGATTATGTGTTTCACTGCACATTCATTTCAACTTTCACTTTTACTCACTCCTTACTTTGATCGTCTTATATGCAGGAGTGGACAGTAAGCAAGCACATTCACTCGAGTACCATACTTACGTACACACAAGGAACTTAGAACAGGTATTGGCATGTAGGTAACTAATCTTCTTACTAACTAATCTACTTCTATTCCACTCCAGCTTTAGTTATTTTTCAGATGTCAGTGTAAACTATGATATTGCTGTTGATTAAAATACCAAACAGAATATAAAGTCACCATAGAATAATAAAACATTTTACTGAACTATGACAACTTTTGCTTTTCATACTTGAACTACATTCTGATGTACTTTTACTTAAGTTTTGAATCCAGGAGTTTTAATGGTTGGGGAGATTTTTCAAATTGTGGAATTACTATTTTAACTTAAGGATCTGAATACTTCAACTTTTATGCTGCTTTGATGACACTGACTCATTTCTCCACATTCAAACAAGCATCTGGCATTAGTTATATCATACAATCAATGATCTGGCGGTCATATATCAATCAATTACACTTTATTTATAAAGCACTTCTCATACAAAGCAAGGTTATTGTTAGTGGTCTACTAAACCACTAACAATATAACACAAAAAATAAAAACACTCACAAAAACAAGAACTGAGGAATCACTATCTCACCCATCCTCAGGCCCGACCGACCAGCAGGGGGGTCCCAGGCTTTTAACCTCTGTGGGTCTCTACCTATGTTACAACCAACCAGCCTGCTAGAACCAGAGAAGGCAAAACATTCCTGAGACACAAGCAAGCCACCCACGCACATCTGCACAACTCCGAGAAACCAATGAGGGCACTCTAGAGGCAGAATTTAAAAACTGCTAAAATTAAAAAAACAAAAAAATAGTGTTTAATTACTATATACTACAAGCAGCAATGGGTCGGGGCCAGGCACTTTGAGGAAGTAAAGGAGGAAGATGAAAAAAAAGAGGAAGAAGAGGAAAATGTGCTTTTCACGATGCATTTTGCTTGAATAGACATTAGCAGAATTATTGAACTTACACCAGGGTTTGAATTCACAATCTGAGACACTGAAATCAAGTCATGATCTTGATGAGCAACCTGCCAGGGGAGATCACTTCAGTCAGGATGTAACTTGACACGATGCCTGAAGGCAGTCTGCAGGGCTGCTGACTATTGCTACTGTAAAAAATTCAGTGATCAAGACAGAATGATTCATCTAGTCAGTAAAGAGATGTCTGTGATTTATTTTCACAAAGTTTTATTGATGAACTCAGCGGCCTGGCGCCTAAATAACCATCCCATCATACAGGTGGTTCTACTTTAAGAGGCTTTTCAGAAAGTGTCTCTCTACTGTGTGTGAACGATTTGTCTTTATCATTGTAAATACAGTATCACAAATCTGGCGCCGCACTTTGAACCAAATGAAAATTGCCATTGCTGTGGATTATGGAATCAGGAGTTCTTAATCCGGGCCCCTCTCTATCAGCTCAGGTCCCCGGGGATTGGCCTGCATTGTTTATCTTGTTGCTATGCCCCAGGTTTCCAATGGAGGGCGACATCACATCATGACATGATAAAGGGAGGGAGAGCGAGAGGGTGAGAGACCAGAGGATGACATGATCAGTTTAACGGTTGAGCTTCAAAGCTGTAACGTTAAGTGACTTTTTAGATGAAACAGATCAATGTGAAGATACAGAGTGGAGATCCTTCAGTGTGTGTTTCCATGGCAACTGTGGAGGAGACGTTACAGGTCGAGGTGAACTCGTGCATCTGTTCTAAACTTGCCTGTTTGAAAGGGTTTGTTCTCTTGTCCTGTGTTAATGCTATGGACTCATTCTTTGTCCTTAGTGAGTCCTCATCACACAGTTCTGCAATATTCTGTCACTTGTTATTGTTTGTGTGCTGAGCTTTTTATAAAAAGTCTATGATGCAGAGTGAAGGGAGAAATCTGTGTGTTCATCCTACCTGGTTTATTTGCCGTCATTTCTTATCAACAAATTCTTCTGACAATTGACAAAACTATAATTATCCGACAATAGGTTGGTTTTGTCAAAGAAATACTGAATTTGAAAATGTCCGTTGGACTAACTTTGGAAAAAATGGCAACTGTAGCAGAAGTACAGTAAAAACCGAACAAAATAAAAGCATCAACTCACCTGTTAATAAAGTATGAAGTTGTATAATGCTTTTTTAACTGAAATTGATCATGCTCAAATTTATTCAGATGTTTGAATTGTTTTCAAGTGTATCATAAAACTTGATTTCTGGACAAAATGTTTTCAAGAATGTAAAGCTTTTTTATTTACACAACACAATTCTCCATTATGGAAATCCAGTGCANCAATTGAAAGCCAGATTTAAATGGGGATGAGGTTGCTTTTAAAAAATATCAATTACACTACTATGTCATGCCTCGCTATGTAGAAGCTTAAAAACTGAAACCAGACATGAATCTTAATGATTTCCTTAAACTGAAGTGACTTTTTAAGCAACAATACCAGCAGCTGCACCATTCACTCTGGGTCCTTGGAGTAAACAGGTAATTAGACATGAAGAGGGCAGATAGCATCTGTTTTGACGGCGTTGAGAACCTGACAGTATCTCTCAGTGTCTCTCAGGCCGCTTATGCACACGCTCATCAGATAAAGGAGCCTGTTGAAGGCTGAAGCCGAGGGTTGCGAGAACTATTATTATTGTATTTGCAACCGTAATACCTGCACTTCCTTAAAGAGGAAGGCTCAAAGAGACGCGGTTTCCACAAACATAGAAGACTTAACAACCTCATGCCTGTTAGACCCTCTGTCTTTCCACAGGTTCGGGGAGTGTCGCTAAATCTGTCTCTGCACCACCTGGATTAACTGGATTTTGAAAGTAAATGATAAAAAGCATCGAGGAGTTGGAAACATTACTGTCTTATCTCCTCCTCTATACTAAGATCATAGATTTGGCTGGTACATGGCTCTGTGCAGATTTTCTAGGATATGTAGTTGAAGCTGGTATAAACGCCAATAAACACAATGTTAAATCTCAAGAGTTTATCTTCTGTTCTATGCAGGAGTGTGGTTTGTGAGATGCAGGGAGCCGTGTGGTCGACGTGCTCTTCAAGGTGGCCAGTGATGCTTTGAAAAACAAGCAGATCCTCACAACAGATGAGGCGAAAGCCAGGGCCTGGCCACAAAGACAGCCTTTGTCGGTGTACCAATATGCCGTGACTGTCTGACAAATTTGTTGAAGTTGATAAGATGGTTTAAAGCAGCCCAGATCTTTTCTCCACACGGGAACACTCGTAAACTTCTCCGCACAGTGAAACTGGATCCCACGTGTTACTGTACCTGAGGAGCATTTTTCTTCTCCCATCAGCAGATGCAACTCAGCATTCAACTGAACTGATGGTTAACGTTGATTGTGTGGCTGCAAACAGTGCATGTGTGTGTGTGTGTGTGTGTGTGAGAGAGAGAGAGGGAAAGTCTCAGGTAGACAGAGTACATTTCCAATGTGTTTATCTGTGAAATGAGAAACATAGAAAGTAGTGGGATAGTTTACTGCAGATGAAAGTGATAAGAGAAGTATGACAAGGACAGGGGACAGGGGGCCGACCATTGTGCACCTCAGATAAACAAGCTGCTCGTGGACCAGGGCGAAAACTAAACACATCTGAGACAACAACGTTGCAGCACAAGTGTACGTGTCCTGAGGCATGTTGGTTTGGGATAAAGCGCTGCACTGTCTACATTTCAATAAAAGAAAAAAAAGGTCAGTCTTGATTTCCTGCCAGTATAACATGCAGGACATATATGTGCATTACCTTCAGGTAAACAACAGAATATGTAAGAATATGACGACAATGATAGTTCATATTCTTCTTGTGTTTGTATAAGTTATCAATAATCCAATTTGCAGAAGATCATCAGATATCTGTGTTTACAGGCGTGTTCCCATCCTCACTTCTTTCTGAGAGCATTTGCAGTAGAAACTTTATTCACTTCCTAGTGGAATAAAATACAATTTAGAGACGAGATTTTTTTTTTCATCTTTTTTATGCAACATAAGAAGAGAGGCCTTTACAAATTGAATATTGAGAGTTAGATAACTTTTAAGTTGCAGTTTGCAGCGTTACTCTGACATAAGTTGTTTCTGGTCAGATTCTTTTTAACATTATGAAGAGATGTTGTTATGAAAAAATAAATAAAAGAGATACAGTGTAAAATCAATGGAAAAGGCATTTATGTATTTATTTATAGAGTTTACTCATGAATCAGTGATGGAGACTGGGGTTACAGAGGTCCACTGCACAACATAGTAACTTTAAAACCTGTATGTGATACATTTTCAGAATGTTATCAGTGTTGGCAAAGTTCAAATCTTCCAACTTATTATTTTTTTATTTAAGTACAAGACTGGTGGTTCTGAGGGCAGAGTCAGTAGAGCTGGACTCATCATCACATCATCATGTATCTGAGTGAGTCACAGTGACAACTCAATGTCAACATCATCTCTGCCTGTAAGTAATACTATAGCGCCCTCTACAGGAAGGATATGACTTTGAAAGGTCGTTTCAGACCAATTTCAGATCAGCATATTCTACACAATCCACTGGGATGAGTGGTGCACATATCTGTGGTTTTCAGACACTGGTCTCTTGGCTCGTGTTACACAGCAGTTAAAAAAAAACACTTTTCAAAATGTAGCAACAATTTGCCCATGAGTAATACACAGAAGGTGTTTCAGTAACAGTTTGGAGTGAGCAGGTTTCCAACTGAACTACTATGTTCTTGAACCAAAACCTAAACCCTGCAAAACAAAATGGAACAATTAGGTCCATGGGTTTTTCTTCACATTAAAGGTGAGTTCAATGTCAACCTCATATCATCCATCCGTTTTTCTCAAATCTTCGCTGGTTTGAAATCAGTAGCACTGAGCCCAAGTTATTTCTTTGTAATCAAAAACAATTCATCTCAACAATAGCTGACATATCCTGACATCTTTTGTTCCTCTCGTGGGTAAAAACAGAATAATTACACTGGAGAGTAAGTAACGTTAAAACAAATCTAAGACTGAGACAGGACATTAAGAGACAACAACCACAGCATTCCTCAGTTGCTTGTTTATTTCAGCTCCAGTGATACATACTGTAGCAGCATTATTACAATCATTTCATATTTGCATGGTCAAACTTTTAAGCACTCCTCCTCTGGAGATGGCACTCAGCAGAAAAAAAAAACACTCCCAGCTCCCATTTCAAATCACTTGTGCGTAATTAGCGTATAAATATTTACATCATGAAAATCCCCACATAGAATACGAGTTCTCCTGTCTTCTTTAAGATGTAGAGATATACATGAGAAACACTGATTTAACATGTTAAAAGAACATGGACACACAGTTGTAGAATAATAATTCTCTATTCTGCACCAACACCTCAAAGGAATAATGCAGCATTAAATACAAGTATAAAGTAATAAATCAAAATGTATTCAGACTGAATTGTTATTTTGTTTATCATGTGATTAGCATTGGATGAGTTGATGTTTGTCAGTGGATCCAACTGTGAAAACACAATGTGGATAAATGCGCTGTAACTGTGATTAGATGCTTTAAGGGGAATAGAACAGCTGCATGAAGCTAAATGCTACTGAATCCACTTTTATATTCAAGTTTAACATCTTATCCTTTCATGTGAAATTCATATTGCACACGAAACTAGGAACAATATAAGCTGTTTATATAGCCTAGTCTAAAAGAAATAATCAGTCCATAATTAGCTCACAACGTAATTTCCCAAACTCACTGAAATCTTTCCAAAATATCAATGATTTTTCACAGTTAACTGCTTTTGCTAAACGTTTTGAATCGTTATTGAAACTTGTCAGAAGACAATGAAAAATGTCAAGGAAGAAAAGATGTTTCTTTCTCTCGAACAAGTTCCAAAACAATAAAGAAAGATAATGAAGAATCTGAGTGGAAGCTACTGTATGTGGGGGTGAAGGTGGAATGACAATTCACAGCAGGCAGGCACACAGCATCATGACTACATGTTCGAAATGTGATGTGTAGAATAGAATGCATGTCTTTGGTATATTAATAATTACCCAAGTGTACAAGCAAGAAGAATCTGTTGCTAAAGGGTTCGTGACTCCACTGGAATCTGACAAACTCTCTGAACTTTTCCAGAGTAAGACAGAAAAAAACCTCCATAATTAAAAACAAATAAATCTGGCCACTTGCTGGATCACATCAATATCTGGAGGAATGTCCTGATTACTTTATCAAAAATAGACAATAGGCTGGAGAGAGCAGTGAGCACACAGGAAATATGTAAATACAACAGGACGAAAATAAAAGGAATGATGCTGCCTGCTCACCAGCTGATCAGACCTCATGGAAACGAGAGCGCCTGACTTCACTGGTCCGTTTTTAAAATCAAATTCAATCACATGAAGTTTGAATTGCAGCAAGTGTGAATTTTAACTTTCAGCTAAACTTATACTCTGAAAAATATTTTATATACAATCTACAACCTTGAAAGGTCATTATTATTTATACATATAAACATCACAGTATAAATGCACGAGATATTACCGCCAGATCAAGTAACAGCCGTATTTGATCCACCTGTGGACCTGCATAATGAAGTTTCTCAGAAATAGTCACCCTAAAATATATATTCACGTGTTTGAATACATATGAAAAAGCTGCCTTCTTTCTGGAAGTAACGTTATTGTGCGTGATTCAGGAGTGTTTTAGTACTTCACTTCAACAAGGCAAATAAAATAACAGACCGTTACGGCCTACACATCTTGACCCCGAGAGGAGTCTCTCAGGGGGAAAACATGGTATTTTACACATCAACCGGTTAAGCCTGTTCAGATGTTGAAAAATTTGACCATTTATGACAAAGAGCCACAATAAGATTGTAATCTTATCTTATTCCGATAAGCCTTGGAACAAACAAAAATAAAATGTGGAAAGATTTCAAAATCAAGTGCATAAGATGGAAAAAGCAAAAGAGCATTTAATATTTATGAGGCACTTTAAAAGCGCTGATGTACTTTCCACTGTGGAGTGGAAATAAGGAATGTGATGTAATGGTTCTTTATAAATACTCCATGAAACAAAACAAACATCCTTAAAACACAAGCTGCGGAAAGCTAACAAAATAAATAAGAAAGTTCCAATATTACGAACTATAAACATCTTTCAGGACAACTTCATTAAATGGTCAGCACATGAGACTGGAGAGTTGTGGTTGATGGGACCGTGGAGAGGAGGAGGAAGAAGATGACACACTAACAATAGTCATCTCCTCCTTGTGCAACGTCATCCTAACTCAAAAACACACACAGACTTGAGTAAATGAGAAATATCAAGTGTCGTCCTCTGCCACACCTCGACCACAGTGACTCCCCTGTGAGACAACTACTGATGTTATTTCCTCCACAGTGGAAACGATACATTGAGTTCACACAGCTTCAGGTGGGGAAAGTCTTTCATCAGTCTAGGTGTGGGTTGCTCCAACACATTTTCCATGACAGCAGGTCCTGCCTCTTGTTCCAGCTACTGTTTCGTCAGGAAGTACTTGAAGAACTCATACACGGACCAGGCGATGGCGGTGGAGGGCATCTGGTATATAACCCTTGCTTGGACCCCTTTGAAGAAGGCTGCCATTCCACCAAGCCGGTACACTGTCCTGAAGGTGTTAGCCATTCCTGTTAAGTGGCCGCTGATTTTCATGGAGTTCAGTGCTACATTCTCTTGTGTGTTGAGCAGCGTTTTACAAACGTCGAGCGGAGTAGTTATCGCTGCAGAGATGGCTCCGGCCGCTGCTCCCGACACTATGTGGCTGCCGGGGTGGTAATGTCTGTGGGGGTTTAACTGTTCCTGCATCAGCTCATAGGTGATGAAATGAACAGCCTGGAAGGGGATGTTCATGGTCAGCTGCGTGCTGTAGCTGCGGTAGAACGCTCCGATGCCCTCGGTCCGTGTTATTGTTTGAACACAGTCCCAAAGTCCTCGATATGGAGAGTTGTACATTTGCATCCGCTGCTTTATCACTGAGTGATGGGAGGAAACAGAGAACAGTGTTTAAAAATGCACTTTACTTTAACACGCTACTTAAAAAATAAAACAAATATCTCAAACATCAGAAGAATAGGTTTGGCAATTAAGGGATAAAGGAGCAAGTCAGCCAGTGTAGCTCATTGATATTTTTGGACAACAATAGAGTTCTATGGAAGAGAAAAATACAGTGTATCAGACATTAGATACAGAAATTATTCATGGGGTTTTTTGACATTAAGAAAATTAGAATATTGTCACCAATATCCTTTAATAATACTAATAATACCAATCACTGAATCTTTAGAAGGTCATGGGGGAATATAAAACAATCCTAGCAGCGATAGGCAAGAGGCATGTTCCAACCTGAACAGTTCATTAGTCAATGACAGGGCTCTCTCATAGTGACGTACAATCGTTCACACCCACGGGAAATTTAAAGACGCAAACTAAGGCCAACATACTATTCCAGCCTGTGGGAGGTAGCTGGAAGCTGCATTATTAGAATGTTCCTGTCAGAACAGTTCTAACAGCTGCAGCAGCGAGCCACCCACCAAGAACTTGGACTTTTTCTTCTTACCTTCAGCTGGATTCATGACTGCATCATGGAGCACAGTGGCCACACTACCTGCCATACCTGTTAAACATAAACCAGTGCTGTCAACTCTGATCCAGTCACAGAACTATAACAACAAACAAAACAAACTGGATCAACTTTGTTGAAATATATGTTCCTTATTTTCATTGGTTTTTCTTCTTCTTTTTTTTTCTACATGCTAGAAAACAGCTTGTACCCACACATCCTAGATCGCATGTTAGGATTTTGGCTTTGTCCTTGCCATTCCAAACAGGAAACAGCATTAACAGGCATTATCCTAACCCTCCTCCTCCTGGCCTTGCTGCTCAGCCTAGTGCACAACAGTTAGTACGACAGCCAAGTGATTTGTGTAAAGACGTGGGAACTCATACCGTTGGCTAAATGGCTGTTGCCTCCCCTCTGAATGACGTCACTTAGTGAGCGTTTGACCTGCTCGTAGCAGGCGAAGTAGAGGGCATGGGCCGGCCCCGCTCCCATCATGGTGATGTTGAGGCCCCTCAGAGGCCTGAAGATCCCCTCTGTCTGAATGATCCGTTTCAGAGCCTCATAAACACTTCTGTACTGTGCGTTCCGGTCCGGCTGCAGGCTCTGCATCCTTGTCTGCAAAAACAAACCGATATTTTAACCACTGCTCATCAATGGTCGCAGCATGGTTGGATTGGTTAACAAGTGCTGATGTTAATGTCCAGCATGAATGCTGTGGCTGGCTTCAAAGTGGACACCTGGTATCATCCCAATCACCATTTCTTGATGCATTGTTCCTTTTAAGACTGTCACATTGTTCTGACAGTGAGTGCTCTTGGCAGCAGTGAGGTTCCTGTCAGAGTGGTGTGTGTCTCTCACAAGGCTGGTGTGTGTGTGGTGGGGGTACGGGCGGTGGCAGCTCCTTGTTTTACTCCACCATGCCAAGTTATCTGGCCAGCACAAAGCATGTTTTTATTTGCGAGGAGATCTGGGGCTGACTCAGGAGATAGGCCGAGTCTATCTTCCCCAGCATGTTCCCATGCGTTTCCTTCCTTTGGCTTGACAATGAAGTATCAATTACATTTCCGTTTAATAAGCATTTTTGGAACCTTGGGTCACACAAAACCTGGTAGCATAGTTTACATTTTTGGTTATTGTGACTAAACTCAGAACTACATTATTACACAACTCTGCCCAGGGCAGATGCATTAATATTCATTTTATATGCACCTTTCAATGAAGTAGTTGACAAATAAAACTAATTGAACATGACACTATAATTTAACGTTACAGCTAATCTGAAGCTGAAATTATGCAGGGGACACAGTAACCTGCCAGTTCAAACTTTATCATCAGACAGTGATTGTACAGAAGTTCTGATGTGATAAGACATGCATGCACTTTAACGACACAAAAATAACAATAGTCTCTCAAATTTTTTTTAAACTGCAGTATTTAGTATGCCTGTTATTATTATGGTTTTTTTAATTTTTAAATCATTTGAACTCAGGCACTTGATTGCACTTTATGATTACCACAAATGAGATTAACCTGAAACTTGAAACGAAATACAAATTCGTGAAAGAGAATCATGAAAAAGATGATAGGTCATAGTAAAGGTAAAACAAGTAAAAATTGGTTCATGTTAGGGAAGGTGTAACCTGAAGATAGAGTACTTAGATTGTTCATGTATCAAGATGCCTTTAACATCAATGTAACAGTCAACTGAGGTAACAAAACAGGTGGCAAACACCAGAGTATCCATTTACTCATCCTTAAAAGGATGCGCTCTCACCTCTGACATCACTCTGTGTCCTATCTTTATAATTCACTTTTGGCAGTTGTGGTTCTTTGGACGTTTACTAATCAATACAACAAAAGATTGAGTGCACACACACGCCCTTCGCTGTGTGAGGCTGATTCCACATGTGCACAACATTGATAAGATCCCCCTCCTAGCATTCACATGGGCTACTCCCTGAGTCTGAGCGGTGTCTCGGTCTGCATGGGAGGCTGAAAGATACACTAAGTAGATTGTTGTCATATTCAATGAGCTCTGAAATTATTTAAAACAATTATTCAGCTAAACTCATTTCAAGTTTGAGGCGAGACTTCGCAACTTCAATTCATTACTTAATACACAGACTCTTAGTTTTGCATCTACTGCTGAAAACATATGCAGATATTGTGTCTCTGAAAAGAAAAAAAGGAACCATGAGTAGGGATTTCATCAGTTTAGATCCACCGATATTTCAAAACAGGCTATGTTTCAATGCCAGACACACACTGATCAAACAGCTGAAAAGTGCAGAGAAATCTCAGGAGGAAATGACAACAGTGGTTTGTATAATAATGTCTATTTTCATAAGAAGCACTTAATGAAGTTAAGTTAACTTAATAGTAATAACAGTACTAATAAACATAAGTTAACTGTCAGTTGTCAAGACTATGAAGCAAAAAAGGATATAAAGACTTCTTTTCCTTGCAGTAGGTTTGCAGTTTTCTGTGCCACATCGAGATTAATGTTGAGTAGAGCCGCATACCAAATTATCACAACAACACCACATTGTTAGAAAACAGTAGTTGAGCAGAAGAGAGAGGATTTCAGGGGCAAGGATCACAATCAGCCCAACAGTTAAAGATTTACTTTGCAGACACAGGCCAATTTTTAACCATTTCTTTTAGTCATTTAACTTCATCGACTGCGTCTCAATTCAAGATGGCACTCATTGGTGAACTAGTTCATTCAAATACCAGCCACACAAAGAGCTGGAGTGAGAAGGATTGACTGTTTATGATTTTGTGTGATTCCTGCCAAATATTTGTACACACAAAAATGCATGTGGGCAGTGACTCATAGCATCTTTGCAACTTGATGTGCAGCTCTTTTTATAGCAAGTTTCAGCCATTAACGTGTAACATAACTTACTTTCTTATGAAAATTTGCTCAATATCAAATTTTCTCTACCTTGTTACTAATGTGAGTAACAGAGAACCATGGTATGATCATTGTTTTCAGTATTTAGGAACTACATAAAATGAAGAAAGAAGACAGAAGTCCTCAACGATATATCTAAACCATGTTTTATTTGTACCGTGTATTAAGGCTGGAGCGGCCAAGTTGATTCATAACAATTCATTCTTAGGATCCTTTTTTGGTTCATCAATTTAACAGTGTCAAGTTTAACAGGTCAAGTCCAAAACCCAAAAATATTAAGTTAACAATTACTTTAAAAATGACAGACAGCTGCAAGATTCATTTTAATCCACTAACCAATTTATCTATAATCAATTGTTTCAGCTCTACAGTGTACTGCATTAAATACTCACCACCAAAACACAGAAAAACCCCAATCACTTAAAGTGGGCATTTTAAATATTGGATTGTTGTTAATTTTAGATATTGAATATATTATATTATTAATTGTATTGTATTATTTTGTATATACAGTTTGCTGATGTTTAGTATCTGGTTAGAGGCTGAGCTGCATTTTGATTCATGGGCAAATGTTGAGCAATCACAAAGCGAAATCCTGTAAATACAACAAATCTAAATCTTTGTATTGATTTATTAGAGTACTCCTGTGAAAGTAAATAAAGATATGCTTAATTGGCAGAGTTGTTTTAAGTTAATGAGTCATCTGGGCATCAGTGAGTGGCCACTATGTTTCGCAACTACACACGGGAGTGAAGCAACACAGTAAAAAGATAAAGTTAAGCTTTTATGAGGGGCAGCATCGCTGTGGCAGTAAGACTGTGGATTTGAATTTAAAGGCATTTAGACACAAGTTACTGCCACGCCACCTTCTTGACCTTCACTTATCCTCACAGCAGTAAAGAAGTGTGGACAACTCGCTCAGTTCTGTGAACTACAGCCGAGACTGAACAGAAAGAGGGAGAGCTAAAGAGGAGCTAACGATGAAAAACGTAAACGTCCATAACTTGGTTCTGACCTTGCTAACTTAGGAGTGACAGCGGTGAGGTTACAGTGGGCGCTCAACCCACTCACTATGTTAGCAAAGTTAATAATTACACATGGAGAGCCGTGTAAATGAGTACAACTGTTAGTTCTCTCTGTGTCGAGCTGACACGCGGTGTTTTGCTCGTGGTTTCATTTATGCTAGCGAGCTTAATTAGTTAGTAAAAGCAGACTGACGAGCTTGAATTAGCTAACAGCGTGGCTAGCTGCTGTGTGATGAGCAGCTGTTTTAAAGCTAACGCTCGTTAGCAGTCGGCTGCGGAGCGTGTGTGCGGTTAGCAGCGATGTTGTAGCCCGTTGGTGACGGAGCTGTGGCGGCGGGGCGAGCGGGGTTCACCCGGTGGCTGTTACCTTGACGGAGTCCACGGGGTACATCACCGTGTGCTCCAGGATGCCAGCCACGGCTCCCGCTGTCATGTGGGTCGCCACCGAGACATGAGGCGGCAAGCTCTCGTAGTCGCCGTCGCTGTCGCTGTTAAAAGGCCCGTCGTCTTTCTGGCTCTGCGGCATCTCCAGCGCTGCCGCCGCACGCTCCGAGCTCAGCTCCATGCGGGGTGAGCTCTCGCTGCGGGCTCTGAGGTGCGGGATCGTGCTCGGAAAGGTGTCGGCGGCGGCGTGGACAACCACAACATCACCGCGCGCACCGCAGCTCCACTGCCCTGGGCGTGACGTTGGCAGCCGAGGGGGGCGCGTCTCCGGCCAACATGGACCAATCGCGCTGCGGATTTTCAGCAAAAGGGCGGGCCATCGCTTTGAGGCGGCCAATCGGAAGTTTTTCCGTGGTCAATTCCTCTGACGCTGGTTGTGTCAGTGTCAGCGCGTCCCTGCTTCTCCGAGAGGTTTCAATGGGTTTGACAAGAAAGTGTAATCTCACAGCGCTGCTGCAACAGATAAGTAGGTTTGGTCTCTTTATCAGCATCTGCTCGTTAGTAAGGATAGATCTCCCTTTGTGCTTTCCTCACACTCAATGATTCTTAGGCTGTACACATTGTAGTATTATTGTTACAAATAAAAGTCCTTCAAAGTTTAAGCCACGTAAGAGGAAAGACAGAACAAAACCATTTAAATGCAAAAATCTAATCTTGAATGAAAAGGATCATAATAATAATGATCTTATATAATCTGCTCTTCCACAAGAAATTAATTAACAAAGAAAATAAAAATAATTCAAAAGAGCCCCCCGAACAATATTAATAATATAAGATAATGTCATTACTGATGCACCATGTAAACATCTGTTTAATTATAAACCCCATTGGACTATTTTATATAATGCCTGATTTTAATGATATCATTTAATCAACAATACTGTCTTATCTTATGAGATGATCATATGTGTCACACATGAAGACATTTATATTTTCATTGACATTTGGTCCAATATAAAGAGAAAGTGGGAAAAGAGTGGAAACATTGTCTTCTCAAAGAAGAATAGCACAATATCTCAAAGACAATTTTTTTATGTGAATGTAATTTGTCACTTTCCACGACTGGGGTTGTATGTACTCGAAAGGGGTCTTACTAGAATATAATAAAATAATTTATTTGTCTGTACACATTTTAAATACAAGGTGTTGTGTGTTTTTGCAGGTTGGTTGTTGTTTTTGCATAAAATAAGTTTAAATTCAATGAAAACACATGCAGCAGCTACCGTGGTAATCGTTGTTCCAGGGACCAGTGCTCAAACTAACCACAGCTTTTGGTACTACTTATTTTGTACTGAGATTTTTATTGAAAATTTTCCTGGAAAATTCAATTATATATCACATCCTTATTTGAAAAAGGAACAGAGGAACCAAAATGGGCTCTTTGAAACCACATGGAAACCACAACAGTTCTTCTTGAGTAAGTAACAAATTGGGGGAAACCATCTCACCTGTGACCCTCTTAACTGGTGTGTGAGCACATGTTGTCTTTTCCACATCCATTTTCAAACAATGCAGAGACTGCCACTGGATGTGCTGTGTGACAGAAGTGTAAATACTTGATGCCCTCTGCATGTGGGACACATTAAAACATCCTGTGTGAACTCAATGACACAGTTTGTAACCCCTCATCCATTGCAACTTCATCAGTAAAATAAATACATTTATTTTTGCACTTAAAACATTGAAGATACTATGGCCTACTTATATTTCATACACTTCTACATTCCATACCGTCAAGTTATTAACTCACACATTTACTTGTTCTGTAACTTGTACATTTGATTTGAATTGAATACTTGGTTTGTTTCATGGCCAAAAGATTATGGACCAATAGTTAGTCTTTTATTAAACATACCTCAATCATGTGGATTATAGTGTATGAAAAAAAGTGGTGGCCAGTCTGACAACCCTGACTGTAGCTGTGAACATGTGAATATCAACTTTAACCCCACTGCTGGAACAAGAGGATCTTAAAAATGCCAGGCTCTTATAATGCTGAGTCACTGATGTGTCTCACTTCACCGACACACCCACAGAGACTCGCCAGGGCACTTTGTGTGCAAAGCTTATGTTTCAGCCAATGGTGAGTGACACAGGATAGCCAATAGATCAGGTTCTACTCAGTCGCTGCAAAGATAATTGATAGTGTCTTTCTTCAAAAGAATAATACAATTTACAAATCAAATATTGTGACTAACAGGTGAGGAAACAAAGGTTTAGATCTCTCACTGCACTACACAAGATAAAAAACATTATAAATCATTCAGAATAATACTTAAAGGGGCCTGTGGTGAAGAAACTCTCTCATCTAAATTCAGAATTTTTATTCCACAGCTGATGACCCTCACATGCTTTGCAGTGTAAATTCTGAGCATCTCATTTGTCCCATTCTCACAACTCATGACCTTGTCTTGAGCACTCAAACGCAAATGACAACTATAACTTGTTACAGTAAAGGGAGATAAACTTATCATTTCAGTGTGGAGCTATTGTTTATTCTGGGAGAACCACAGATTTCAGATTCAGTTGAAGGAAAGACACCACTTGTTTAGTCTGATTCATGTACACCCTATGGTCTGATCTCTTCCTCATTAAATAAACAGCCAGACAAGTTTACCATGAAACCTTAATAACTGAATTGAAATTTGACAACATTTATTTCGCATTAATTTGTGCAAACGTTTCAATAGACGATTTTCATATAAATAACAGGACAAATAAATGTGCCCTCATTTACAGTCCCCTCACAGCAGTGATATGACAGCTTCTGAAAATGAAGCCCAACGTAAATAACAGTGTACGCAACAGCATCCAACAAGATCGTCAGATCACCCAACGTGAGAATTTCAGTTGGGCTTCAAGAGAGATTGATACCACACACAAAATGAGCAGATGGGTTTTGGAGAATTTCCCAACAGTGTCAAGACATGTATTGCACAAGAGGCAGAAATTATTTGGGATAGACACACGCACACAAAAAAAGACCATTCCAGCTGAGAGTAGCTGTGCGTTCAAATTTTCTCATTTTTAACTGCATTACAAAGTGCTCCTTCCACTAATTAGAAATCATATTGCATTTGAGGTTTCTGTAGATGGCAAAAGAAAACGTGTGATGATGCAGATATAAAAGGCATAAAGAAAAGGCAAATGCCCACACACACAGAGAAAATTAAATAAATGCCACTGTGGTATATTTTGTCAAACTTTGAGAAAGTTTAGATGACACTTATTTGAGTATGGAAGATTCCCTAATGAGAAAAGTACTGCGTTGTTTGTCTTTTTTTTCAATTAAGTAGAAGACAAATTGAGGCAGCTGCCTTTTAAAAATGACAAAGGAGTGACAGGCAAGATCATTCATTGTAAAAAGACATTTTCATGTCAAACAAAATAAATTAAATACCAACATTGGCTCAGCCAAGCCTGAGAGCTCACAAACAATGTCCCTCATTTGTCCAAATCTCAGTACCGAATAGTTTAGAGGTTGATGGGGAGCGTGGGTGAGCTGAGGCCCTCTTCCAACCATGGTACGGAGGAGGGGGTGCAGCGCTGGGCCGCATGCCGGTGGATGCGGCGGAGTCGCATCAGGTACAACATAATAGACAACAGCACAATGAAGAAACAAGCCAGGAATAAGTAGTGGTTGTTGAGGAAGGAGAAGTTGTGCCGCCAGTGAGAGTGAGCTCCTTTCAGGCTTTCCTGTTGGATGTCCCTGAAATAGGCAGAAAACGAAGCAGCTCTCAACAAAGAGATTATGTGCATTACATTTTTTGTTTCTATGTGTTAAAACATAAGATAGTTTGATTTGATAAGAATCCTGATTTAGCGTGGTTTCAATTTCAAAAGCAAGATGCTCAAATCTGCCAAACCATCAGGACCAACTCTAGTGATTACACACAAGAGAATGTGGAATTTATTTGTATCTTTTAAAGAAATGTTTGGGGTCTTTTTGCCTTTATTGAGAGGACTATATTGAGGTGACTCTGTATGCGGGGTGCACAAGATATTTTTTTTTAAAGAGAGCTGTAATAATAAGTCACCAAGATCTTTAGAGTAAAAGACACTGTCTATAATTCGCTTTGCTAAAGATCAGAGAAATTTGAATTTCAGTGAATTTGAATTTATGTTGTTCTGCCAAATGCAGAAGTGAAAAGCCACCATCTCTGTACACCATAATACTTAGTGTCTTTTTACTAGCCAATCTCAAGTAATGGTCATTGTTTCACTTATGCTCAAATGTGTGTTGTTATCGATGGCAAACAAACAATCACTCCTGCACTTACACTGAAGAGCAGTTTTAAGGTGGATGATCTCTTATTTTTGCTCATTAAAACTAGTTGACCCTAGTTTGTTTAAAGCAACTGAGAATCTTACCTCAAAGGCAGAAACCGTGTTCGGTAAAGTATAGCGCCAAGAGTCCACTGGACCTCCTTATCATAGACCAGCAGCGCTGTCTTTAGGTTTTTGTAATTGGCTGGGAAAGAGAAGCCTGAGTGTAATACCTCATACATCCATGCTGATTTAAAACACTGGTACCTGGAAACAGACACATGAAGCCATTGATTAAAACAATCTTGCATAAATCACCAGACATCAGTTTTTTTTAGGTGTGACCAAGTTTATTGAGCTTTCGAATAATCCTGTATGACTTACTTCAGTCTGTGGAGATCAGCATGTGACGCATACAATCCAGAGTCAAAGCGCTCTCTCAGAGTCTTCCACTGGGTGGCACAGTAACTCTGAAATGTTAAACATAAACCCACAACATCAGCAAAGTTTCCAGTGACAAGGCATCAACAAGTTATAATAGATTAACCAAAGCTGCTCTCAAAAATATAGAATATTTAAACCACAATAGCATTGCACTCCACAAGCCAATCAGGGATTCATATGTTTTCATAGAATGGTGAATTGGTGGGGCAAAACAGCATTGGTTTATAACAAGCCTAACCCTGTACTAAATCAAATTACTGCACATGTAGTAAGTAAATGAATAACCTCGCAAAATATTAAATGCATGATGGATTCAAAATCCTAATCAGTTAATCAGAAAGAAAGAAAACACTGTATGAATTGGGCACAGAAAAATAAAAAGCAGTAGTGTGATGATGAGCTGTGGCAGATTTTAACTTCACGCACTTCAAGAGAATAATGTTTCTAACAGAAAGAACATTGTATTTTCTAGTCAGATGGAGAATATTAGGGGAATACTAAGTTACTTATTTTTCTATGTGGCACTTACCTTAGCAGCCCGTGTATATTTTGAAGCATTATAATCCCCA